CTGAAACGGCTGTTTATGTCAGTGGGAAAGGGAGTAATCCCATTAGCTTGGCTACAGTATGTAATTTCGGACGAAATCGTGTCAGCAGGTACTTAGGCTCGTTTCTAACTTATCATGAGAAAATGTTGAAGGCTGTTGTTATGTGGCTTACATAGTATGGAGCTCTCAACTCCATAAAGCAACACGAGCAGCGTACCGGTTTGGTTCAGTCCATTTAGTTGCGGTGCATCTGTTCACTCACTTAGCAGACGATGTACCTGGGTTTGCAACATCTGGATGAACTGCACAAGTTTTAGAGGTAGCGGAAGATCACGTTAACTTTGGCAGCAATTGCGATCGTTCTCACATTCTGTATTAGTAGATCTACTTTCTTTTGCCAAGAAGTCTCCGGTAACAACTTGTTCGAAGTGTCATTAAGTGCCGAAAGAATAGACGGGAAGAACGTTGGTGAAGGACAAGAAGGGCGATGTCTTACGCTTAATCCAGATTCGCAAAGAAAGAGTTGCTGGCACAGATTTTCCAGTATTGCCCTTGTACTCAAGAATTCATTCGGCAGCTTTACCGAAGAGGGCAGGCATGCATTCCTGTTTATTTTTCGACGGTTCTGAGTCAATCCGACCTTTGACCTCCAAAAGATGCTTGAAAGGTGAAAATTAGTGTAAGGGTCATTTCGTTAGTACCTGTCGATGATAAGTCCCAGACGACAGATGTAATCAGTGACACGCTTATTGACCAGAACTCATCTTCACACGCCATCTGGTTGCTGACCTTTACTTATGAAAGTCATGAAATCAGTTTCATTATGTGGTCGATGAACGCTGGAAACTCCAACTTATAACTGCTGCCGTCAAAACAGTGATATGTCGTTTGAAAATATTCCAAGTAAGAGTTTTCCATCGTCATTCATTAAATAGCAAATAATAAAATAATGTATGGTAACACAGACTAAAATGCTGCAAACATGGCCGAAGTCCATCACTAAGTAAATGGTATCAGCACCCGACTTGTATTGAAAGTTATGTTCGTGCGACTAGCAGCTTAATCACATAAATGAATTCTTTACGCAAGCTGTTTCTAAGCTTCTTTCATAAGTATTTCCATAAGTATTAGGGGAACTTTTTTTTGATTTTGTGGTTTTAAAGCACAGCAGGAGTGGGAGGTCGAACATTTAAGGAAAAATAGCCAACGTTACGACCATAGTGCGGTAAAAAATGCGTTTGATAGATGGGCTTTAATTTGGGAAGAGAACGCTTTAAGGTTTTTTGTCAAGATGAGCGGTGTAGACCCTAAACATCATACTTTTTTGCGGGAAAACTCATTGGAATCCAAATGTGAAACACTTTCTGACGGTTAGACAGTCAGTTCGAGTTACTGTATCCTTTGGATGTATAGCCTTTTAAGCATCAACCATTTTAAAGCGCTGTGAAAAGATATTGGACACTTCGTCAACGCTGTTCGCGAAACATTCTGAAATTGCGAAGGTCTTATCGAATAAGGAATGGAAAAATCTTAGGGATGACCGGCTGATGTCATGGTTTGACAGAACCATCCAAAGAGAGAATGAAGACTTATTTAAAACTGTTTTTATCTGGAAAGCAAAAATGGCAGCATGCGCGTTAAACGCCAATACCGCACCTCAAACTAGCTCCTAGAGGTGGACTTGCTTGCGAGGTGAAAAATGGTCTTTGCCACAGCAAGCAACGTGGCTTAAGTTATTCTGAGAAGCCCTAGCGTCAGAAGTTGTTGATAAGGGTATGTCATCGTTGACCCTGATATTTCAGACGACGATAACAACAATAGTTATGCCTTTCAAGCTCCATTAGACTTAGATGACGATGACAACAAAATAGTCGTAATATTTGAGTCTGGGCATAACCTGGTTGTTTGTTCACCACGTTCTGAAAACCGATGAAGGCATTTTATGTTACGACAGTAACAAGTGGTACGCTTGACACATTATGAGTTATATTCATATCACTGACAGGCGGCTTTGTGTTCTTATATACCATTTTGAAATAATTGAATTCATAAAACAGGATTTTCATATTCATTACTTAGTCGTTGTTGCCATGCGTAATGACGAAATCCAAGTTATCCATAGTTTGAATTATTTTGTATTACAGCTTGGTTATGTGGGTGTCACTGACAGGATTTGCGCTGTTTTTCAGACCATACGCAGAATCTAATTAATGTTTTGTATCACAGTACATAAGAGCGATAATGAACGAATAAACACACACACACACACGTAAATAATCCAAAATATA